ATTTTTTTTATTAATAATTAATTATAACAGAAATTATGTGTGTAGCACTTACTTGATGTGTTGGGAGAATTCCTTTTCGAAAACGGTGATCTTGCTAGGATCAAGTTTGTCAAGGTGGCCCCGGACACCACAATAGATGATCGCTACTTGTTCTTCGATAGCCATGGGTACATATTGACCCTGTTTTAATAATTCCGTTAAACGAACACCTCTGTTCAAAAGTTGTTGGGTGGCAGCGTCCAAATCGGAACCGAACTGGGCGAAGGCGGCTACCTCACGATACTGAGCCAATTCCAGTTTCATAGAACCGGCAACCTAAATAAAAAAAAAAATGAAGAAATAAGTCTTCTTAGTCACTTAAAACCCTGTGTATGCATTATTTCACCTGTTTCATGGCTTTTGTCTGGGCAGCTGATCCTACACGAGATACGGACAGACCAACATTGATGGCTGGTCTGATACCTTTGTAGAACAATTCAGTTTCCAAGAATATTTGTCCGTCAGTGATGGAGATGACGTTGGTTGGAATGTAGGCAGAAACGTCACCGGCCTGGGTTTCAATGACGGGCAAAGCAGTTAGGGAACCACCCCCATTGGCATTGGACATTTTGGCGGCACGTTCCAAAAGACGTGAATGCAAGTAGAATACGTCACCGGGATAAGCCTCACGACCTGGAGGACGTCTCAACAACAGAGACATCTAAAATATAAATTGTTTATTAATTAGAAAAGTTTTCATGGAACTTTAAAATTTATTTTAAATACTAATTTCATTTTTAAGAATTATATAATAAAAATTAACCAAAACTATGTTAAAATAATAATATGTTGTAAATCATTAATTTCTTTTGTAAAGTTATTTAACTTTAAGGGAACTTACTTGACGATAAGCAACAGCCTGTTTTGACAAGTCATCATAAATGATGAGGGCGTGTTTACCGTTGTCTCTGAAATATTCTCCCATGGCACAGCCTGAATAGGGAGCAAGATATTGCAAGGGGGCGGCGTCGGAAGCTGTGGCTGAAACAATGATGGTGTACTTGTCAGCACCGGTGTCCATGAGTCGCTTTAAAATTTGAGCGACGGTGGATCTCTTCTGACCAATGGCTACATAGATACAGTATAATTTTTTCTTTTCATCATCAGCGTCGTTAAACCTCTTCTGGTTAATGATCGTGTCGATAGCGAGGGCAGTTTTACTGTAAATTGAGAATTAATTGGCTAGTTAATACAAAATACTGTTGTCAGATAAGAATTCTGTAGTTTTTCTTAAAACAGGGTAGACCTTAGTTCAAGGAAGTAATGATTAATCAAGTCTACATGGATTATAATTCTTAAAATAGTCTTATTTAGAGAATTAATAAATTTTACTAGCAGAAATAAGATTATTACTGTCAAAATGTTGTCACCATAGGTTGTCAGTTGTTATCATGCATGTTACCAATAATATCTGTGGGGAATTATCATTATTCAGTATCATACTAAAAATAATGTTTTGAATATTATCATAATTTTTATGTGAATGCTTTTAAAGCTTTTATTAAGAATTTATTGTTTAAGGTTGGGTTGTAAGGTTAGGTTTTACTTATCTTGACACCTAACTGGGGTATATATGCAACACACATTACACCATTGAGAAAACTGAAATCTATTAATAATAATAAACAGTACAAAGTAGATTGATGATGGTCTAACTGTAGGTCGAAATATATATGTCAGATTCTGATAAACTTAAAATTATACCAAGTTAATTAAAAATATTTCACAATTGAAACTGAAAACTCTATTGAACTCATAAAACCTATTAAGTGGGATACCAAACTAAATGTATTTAGAAGACGATTTAAGAACTAGAGATAGCACTTTACATATTTATGATTTTGAAATTCAAGCTGCAGTTAATATCTACTTGATTAAAATAAAATAAAAACACAATAAAGACGTATTTCGTATTTACTTCTTACTTACGATTACATTACATACAGAAACAATTATTAAACCAAATGCTGTACAATTTCAATAACCAGAATAGATACAAGTACAANAAGAATTTAATTATAAAAATTTAAAGGTAAACCTTAAGGCCAGAAGAAAATTCCACCATCTCCTCGGCTTGTACATTCTTAAGACCATACACACGGGCAATACCATCACCAATACTTAAGACACGACCAGTTTCATCAAGATTACCTTTGGTGGTTGCTCCAAGGATCCTTTCTTCCAAAATTGAACTAATTTCAGCTGAATTATTAATGGCAGATGCATGGAAATTTCGTGCTGCAACATTAGTTGCTGGAGCAATCAAAGCTACTACCTAAAAATATAAATTACAAATAAAGATAAATACCATTTACTTGCAAAACTAATTGATTACATATTATTTATTATTATCAATATTATATACATTAGAATATTACAGTACAGTTAAATGTTATATGAAGGTTACATAACAGGCTTAACATTAATACCAAATGTTATTGGAGAATAAATTTTATAAAATATTGAAAGCATCCTTACTAAAGAGACGTTTTTACATTAATAAGTAATAGACATTAAGGATAAATTTGATAGACAGGGTTGTTATGTCATCACCGTCGACCGACATTGATTATATTTTATTATATCAGGAACTTCACTAACCGGTTTAAAAAGATGATAAAAACTTACTTGAGAATTGTTTGGAAGTCGCCTTGCCGCACGGGCTGCAACACGAATAGATAACATGGACATATTTTATTTTTCTCGATTGCCCAGCAATGATTTTTTTGTGAAAGACGTGAGGCGACGAAACTGCCTTTGAGAGGTTTGGAAAAATTTCCCGTCATGCACTCGTTTCCTTATGAAAATCGCCACTGTGGCAGTAGCGTAGAAGCTTTTCTTTACGAGTCACCTTAAAAAAATATTTTATTTTTCGTATAAATGTATAAATCTTAAAATAATTATTCGCAGATACGATTAACTGTCAACATTAATTACTAACAATTGAATCAGTAACAAAACAAAATAAACTTCACTTTTTAAAAATATGAAAATGTATCATGGCGTTGTGAAACAGAACCGGGAAATTTAAAATATTTCTCATAAATTCTTTAGAAAATATTTCTTTGATTTCTTGTTTTTATCTGCTTACTGAAATAAACAATTAAAAGAAAATAAACCTCCAAAACGTCTTTTTCAACCTGACTAATGAGAAATAATGATAATCAACTATTTGTTTTTTATTGTCATTACATATTTAAACTTAGTCCATTTTATGTCCATTATTTTATTTATGCAAAATTTGGTTTACATTTTTATGGCCCAGTGCATACAGAAAAAAACTTTTTCACAATATGTTGAATAAAACCAATACAACTTCAAGTGGAAAATATTTTTGTATTTTTCTTATATTGTATTTAAAAATGAATAACGGTAATATAAAAGACTTAAGGTTTATCTTTCTGCTTTTCCTTCTTTTCCTTTTCAAGTGCTGCTTCTGTTTTCTCAAATTCTTTGATAAGTTCTTCTACTTCTTTATTGTTCAGTATATGAATTACTGTTTTGTTATTAATACGTGATAGTGTAGCCATTTCAACTGAAATAACAATTATAAATAAAATACACCTCAATAAGAATTTAGATGTTTTGTTACCTTTTTCTGCTGTTAGCTTCGTCATGTCTAGGGTTTTGCTTAGAACTTTTACTGCTAATGCTTTGGCATCCTTCAGGGTCATTTCTCCTTCATTGTATTCTTGTTTTAGACTGGATACAGCAGCCTAAATGAAATATACAAATTGTAAATGGTTAAAAATTAAGAAATAATTAAAATGATGGTTCTTACAGCACTGTTATTTCCTATACAAGTTGCTTTCCAGCCACTGTAATTTCCACTGGGATCAGACTGGTACAACTGATAGCCATAATGTTTATCCCATCCCATATACAAAATTGAAACACCAAAGGGTCTTTTACCCCCATATTGTGTATATGCTTGTTTAACATCACATAACCATGAAACCAGTTGCTCACAGGGTATGGATTCTCCATACTGCAGTAAGTATCTTTGCCCAATAAGACGTAACTCATTAGTTAAAACATTTGCATCAGAGGTTATTCCAGCTACACTACACACCATATCACTAGATATGAAAAACACAAATTGAATGTTTTGTCAGTTTTATATATCTTCAGTCCTTTACATACTCATTAAGCTTGTAGATTTTTTCAGATGAAAATACTTCATCCAATAATTTATTGGTGTTACGACGTTCTGCAGCTAATAAAATGCCATCGTTGGCCAAAATGCCAAGACAAGTACCTGCATGACTGATAGCTTCCATAGCATATTCGACTTGGTACAGTCTTCCTGCAAGTATTTCATGAAAGTTAAAAGAACTTTAACTGTTAAATAATTACCTTCAGGAGAAAAAATCGTTGTTCTGGTATCATAACGTCGAGCCTGGAAGAATAAAATAAAATAACTACACAGTTATTTCAAAACGATGACAGTGCACCAAAATTAAATATAACCTTTAAAAAATACAAAATAATTTCTTTTGGTTTAATAATGAAATAACTAGCTATGAATTAGTTGTTTGGTAATCAGATAATTACATACCATTTTTCTATTCTCTTTTAACTATCTTGAAGATGATAAACGAATAAATAATTCACTAATTTTAAATAAAATCACGGTTTCGACTAAGACCATAGACAAGGACTCAGATGGACTCAGAATTGACTAAAAGAATACTAATCGTAAGATGAACTACTCTATGGAACAATTTACAAGATGGAAACGAACTTTAACGACATTTAACGTTAACTGTTCTCTTGGTTCTCTTCTTCTTTTATTATGTCAAATAAGTTTGTTAGTTAGGTTAACTTTAACAAAATAATATTAAAATTTAAAAATATAAATAAATAATGGCAACGAAAAGAAAAGCGGACGGCCAAGTTCCTGCAGAAGAAAGCGATCAACTTATTATTCGACCTTTGTATTAAAATACATATATATTGTTGCTTTTGTACTTAAAATTACATTTTTAGGGGTGCTGGTCAAGAAGTTGGAAGATCATGCATAATGATAGAATTTAAAGGCAAAAAAATAATGGTATGTATATTTCCTTTTATAGAAATGATACTGTCACACTTGGTTATTGCTTTTTTAGTTGGACTGTGGAATACATCCAGGTCTTACAGGTATGGATGCTCTGCCATTTGTTGATTTAATTGAAGCTGATGAAATTGATTTACTCCTCATTTCTCAGTGAGTACTCCTATATTAATTCAAGACTTATTTATATTAATGTACATCAACTTGATTTCAGTTTTCATTTGGACCACTGTGGTGCTCTTCCTTGGTTCTTACTGAAAACTAGTTTTAAAGGTCGTTGCTTCATGACACATGCTACAAAAGCTATATATCGCTGGTTACTCTCAGATTACATTAAAGTTAGGTATATTTGATTAAGTTTTAGCAACAACAAATACTTATACATTAAATATTATTAGTAACATAGCTACTGAGCAGATGTTATACACAGAGTCCGATCTCCAAGCTAGTATGGATAAAATTGAAACTATAAATTTCCATGAAGAGAAGGATGTTTTAGGTATTAAATTTTGGGCTTACAATGCAGGTCATGTACTGGGAGCTGCCATGTTTATGATTGAAATAGCAGGTGTAAAGGTAACATATAAATCAGTGTGTTTTTATTTATATATAATTAGGTATATTTGTAGATTTTGTATACAGGAGACTTTTCAAGACAAGAAGACAGACACTTGATGGCTGCTGAAATACCTACAGTTAAACCTGATGTCTTAATCACTGTATGAATGTATTTTACAGTAGTTAACATCGAATATAAAACACAAAGTTTATTATTGTAGGAATCAACTTATGGTACTCACATTCACGAAAAAAGAGAAGAACGTGAGAGTAGATTTACGAATTTAGTACATGATATAGTCACGCGAGGTGGTCGATGCCTTATTCCAGTTTTTGCACTTGGTCGTGCCCAAGAATTACTTCTTATATTAGGTATAAAGTATATATTTTGTACACTTAATAACACATTTATTTGGTTGCATTTTCAGATGAATATTGGAGCCAGCACCCAGAATTACATGATATTCCAATTTATTATGCATCATCATTAGCAAAAAAATGTATGGCAGTTTATCAGACTTACATAAATGCAATGAATGAAAAAATACGGAGACAAATAGCCATCAATAATCCCTTCATTTTTAAGCATATATCAAATCTAAAAGTGAATGCACTTTTTTCTAATGTTCTTTTTATTAATTTTAATTTATTTTATTTTAGGGCATTGATCATTTTGAAGACATTGGTCCCTGTGTTGTAATGGCTTCACCAGGTATGATGCAAAGTGGTTTGTCTAGAGAACTATTTGAGTCATGGTGCACTGATCCAAAAAATGGGGTCATTATAGCAGGTAAAAAAGTCAAATTGCATTTTTATTAATAAAATATTGTTTTGTAACGGTTTTATTTCAGGTTACTGTGTTGAAGGAACATTAGCAAAAACGATTTTGTCAGAACCTGAAGAAATTACTACAATGGTGGGGCAAAAATTACCCCTAAAAATGTCCGTGGACTACATATCTTTCTCTGCTCATACAGATTATCAACAGACGAGCGAATTTATTCGAATTTTAAAACCGCCAAACGTTGTGAGTAAATCTTTTACACCTTCAGGCAAAAAATACAATAGAATAGATTTTGACTGTGTCCTACTAAATTACATTTAAATTCTTTGAAAATACAAAGAGTTTACTTTAAGCTTTTAAATGTCTTTTCAGGTATTAGTTCATGGGGAGCAAAATGAGATGAACCGTCTTAAAGCTGCTCTACAAAGAGAATATGAAGACGATCCTAATACATCTATCCAAATACACAACCCTCGCAACACACATGCTGTAGAGTTATATTTCCGGGGTGAAAAAACAGCCAAAGTGATGGGCACGTTAGCCATGGACAAACCTGCTCCTAATAATGTCATATCCGGTATACTGGTGAAGAGAAACTTCAATTATCATGTGCTGGCCCCAGATGATCTTTCAAAGTACACAGACATGAGCATGAGTCACGTAATGCAACGTCAAAGTGTCTACTACTCGGGCACGATAAACGTGTTACGTCATTTTGTGACCCAAATCGCTGGTCTCTTAGAAACGATAGAAGGAGACAGGAAAATGAGGGCGTTTGGAAGTATCGACATAACGATCGAGAACAAGGTGGTAGTGCTTGAATGGGTGGCCAATCCGGTCAATGATATGTATGCAGACGCTATAGTAGCCGCTATATTGCAAGCCGAGAGTCTCGATGTACCCATAAAGAACGTCTCGTCAAGCGCTAAAGTCGACAGAATGCATTTCAAGGAATGTCTGATTGAAATGTTACAAGACATGTTCGGGGAGGACTCAGTACCGAAGATGTTTAAAGGGGAGAAACTTTACGTAACCGTCAACGATAAGAGGGCAGACATTGATCTCACCAATTTGGTATGTTATTCGTATGTAGTGTTTGCATAGGCCGCAGGGGTATATATGTTATATTTTTAAGGACCTGCATCAGCTTTCAATAAGAATTTATTGTTTAAGGTTGGGTTGTAAGGTTANATACTAAAAATAATGTTTTGAATATTATCATAATTTTTATGTGAATGCTTTTAAAGCTTTTATTAAGAATTTATTGTTTAAGGTTGGGTTGTAAGGTTAGGTTTTACTTATCTTGACACCTAACTGGGGTATATATGCAACACACATTACACCATTGAGAAAACTGAAATCTATTAATAATAATAAACAGTACAAAGTAGATTGATGATGGTCTAACTGTAGGTCGAAATATATATGTCAGATTCTGATAAACTGTTAAAATTATACCAAGTTAATTAAAAATATTTCACAATTGAAACTGAAAACTTTATTGAACTCATAAAACCTATTAAGTGGGATACCAAACTAAATGTATTTAGAAGACGATTTAAGAACTAGAGATAGCACTTTACATATTTATGATTTTGAAATTCAAGCTGCAGTTAATATCTACTTGATTAAAATAAAATAAAAACACAATAAAGACGTATTTCGTATTTACTTCTTACTTACGATTACATTACATACAGAAACAATTATTAAACCAAATGCTGTACAATTTCAATAACCAGAATAGATACAAGTACAATTTAGTACTGAAGACAGAAAATCAAAAAATTTATCTATTTATTTGCACCTATTCTAGAATAGTTTCAATATGAACGATGTACTTTTCCAATAATGATAGATCAATTTTACTCTTATGTAAAACTGATCGAAATAAGAAATATTAACTTAAAAAAGTATATCAACTATAATCAATTTTTCTTAAGAAGAGAAGTTTGCCACAAAATCTGCAACCACCTGTTTTAACTTAGTATCTGTCTCAGGAGTAATCTGGCCCTTAGTAGTCTTAAGGGCTGAAGAGTATGCCTCGTAACCCATCACTAGTATCCCGCCTTGGTCATGCCACCGTTTTATTCTGGAAGCCTTGCTAAACGTTGAATTTTGTTGATCCCTAAAAAGATAGTTGAAAGCAAAAATTATAAAGTAAATTATTCCAAAAAATTACCCTAGAATATACACGATAGGTCTTTTAGAGTTAGAAGCGATGTTAAATGCAATTTTGAACTCGTTTTCCCAATTAAGCACCGTAGACAAGGGGCAAACCACCAACACACATTTTGTACGGGTCTCTTTTTGGTATTTAAACAGAGTATGAATGAGAGTGATTACCTGCAAATAAAATTGTCCATTACTAGGTCTTTTCAAATAATTATTAAATATGTACCTGAAAAGTTTTTCCAAGTCCCATACAGTGTGCCAAAATACAGCCAGATCCTTTGTTATCTTGTTTAATTTGTTCTACACTTTCGTAACAAGAACTCCACATAAACTTCACCCCTTCTGACTGGTGGTTTTTAAGTCTTTTTGATAAATTGTGGTTGACCACTATCAGGGGTTTCTGTGTCTCACTGTCAACATCCAAAATAAGTCCCTCTTCTTCCAAATTTTCCGACGATTGAGACAGAAAATTTGACATCTAAAAACTTACCTGTAAAATATCGAAAAACAAGCGGCACCAAAACATAACTTTTAAGTGAATTTTTTATTTTTGGCCAAATGAAATGAATGGAAAAAAACTGCCAGAAGTTTAATGTTACTGTTTATTAATTAATGTACAGAAAATTATATTTCTTAGAATATAAAAGACTATTGAATAATATTTACCAAAGCAGGAATGTTATAAGTTACAATTCTCAATTAAAAATGAATCTGATAATTTATTTTATAACTGGTCAAGAGAAATCACTAAAAATTTTTGCTCTATTAAAAAAAAGGGTAAATGTTTTAAATTGAACACTTACCAATTGCTGCTTTTGAGAAACTCGTATGTTACGCTGCTTTTCTTCTTCAATCGCCTTCTTGGTATCCTCTTCTAGAACATCGTCTGAAAGTATCTGCATAAAAAAAGAGAAACAAAAAATTAATACCTTAGTGAGCAATTATAATACTACAATTTTTATGACCTACCTCTCTAATGTTTTTACGACCTTTCTTTCTGAGAGAATCTTCATCGTTCTCACTCTCCGATTTATTTTTTTTCCTAGATTTTGCCTTGTTTCTTATAGGCGAATCCGTTATACTACAAGAGATATTTTTATGTATAAAAGAAATTATTAAAAATTATAAAAACGACATACAATTCAATGTCGCTATCTGACGATGACAATAGTATGATTGTTTTATTTGAGTTAAAGGATGCGGGCATCTGAAAATCATCACTTAGTTCAGTTTTGATATCTTTGTCGTCGTCTGTGAAACTCGATGAATACGATTTTTTTCTTTTCCTTTGTCTTTGTGGCATCTCAATATCCAAATCATCCTCAATCGTTTCGACTAGTTCTTGTTTCTTTTTTGAAACACTTTTGGATTTCTTTTCCTCACCAGTATCTGAATCTTCTGAATCTAACGAGATCTCAAATCGCTGGCGTAACAAAGGATCACTCCTCCAACTTGTACTTTTTGTCTTCTCCTTAGTCTA